AAAGCGAGTTGCATACTAGTGTAAATACAAGTAGAACTTAATATTTTATGTTTTTCAGAATCGTCAAACGCAAAATTAATTATTTTTTATTAAAGCTTTAAATAACAAGATTCATTAGCTCCACGAGCATGCTCATTACCTAAGACACAACTCACCTGACCTATATTAATACACATTTTTAATTAGACCTTAACATACATTTAATTAAATAACTATTGTTTCCAATTTCACGTTATTATATTAAAAAGATAAAAGATTAATTTTGTTTTATTAATAAATTATATAAAAAGATAAAATTTCTTTCATTTGAGGAGGATTTAAAAAGATTTAGCTCTTTATAAAAAAAAGCTTTATTTAATATGCATCACAGCGCTACTTTTTCTTTAAAAAATCGGGAAAATATTTAAAGCATTCTTAAAAAATGCCGTTAAAACAAGCAAACAATAAATTCAAGAATTAAAATTCAAATAATAATGAGACTTTAGTTCTGTCGAGGAGTGGGAGTTTCACTCCTCGACAGTATGCCCCTAAAGATAGAAAATTTCAAACTTTTCTCACTACTACGATGACAGATTCAATCGAAAAAGAGAGAACCATGAATCAACCTTTGTCAAATGATTAACGTATGCATCCCGGTGTATAAAAAAGTTTCATTTTTATTCGAAAGTATGCACTAAATGAGGGAAGGGTGTGGCTGGCGGGGGTGGTCATGATAAATGATCCCTTTTGGCTTCTTGAACAGGATGTTGCTTGCAAAGGATGACGACATAAACATGCCTCAAATCCTATTCCTTTTCCAAATGCTTGCAAGGGAATATCCACTTATTAAACACTTATACAGAATATCATTTTCTCAAAGGATTTGGGCGTAGGCCAAATCCTACTGTAATTCAGGCAAGTTAGCATTCTACAAGCAATGTAATAAATTGTGTAACTTGCGCTTTAATCTGTATAGGTACCATCTTGAGCAATTTCATCCGTCTCACTAATTAGCTGAATTTAATAACAGTTATTAATGAACTAACTTTATTATTAGAGGGCGATTAAAGACTTCATGTGCCGATAAAGATCTTCTTTGACACAATTTTTCCTTCCGCGTCGTCATTTTTCTTCCATTTCCCCCTCTCTCCAGTGGAAATATTTTGATATCGAAAGTTTAGGTATTTATAATCTTTCAAAATTTTTGCGTCAGTTTCATTGCAATATCCAGGATGTTTTTATGATATTTGATCTCTGTTACAAGATAAAAAAATATATTGCATTTATTTATTCAGAGCAAAATGAAAGAAAAAAGGCTCAGTCATATAAATTACTAGATAAGATTTAAATACCAGAAATTTCCAATGAATTAAATTAAAAATCTCGTAGATTTAATTTCTGCGATTACCATATAGGGTCCTGCTTAGTTGTACTGATAGTTGTTTTACTTTTTCAGCCTTTCCTGAATTTTCTTATTTCATTTAGCATTTCCTCGTCGGGATGCAAATTAAGTAGGTGAAAGAGAGTATTTAAACTGTTGAAACGAAAAGGTTAGTAAGAGCATGATTTCACTAGTGTAATTCGCCTATTTCGTCCTCTAGCTGTTAATCTTAGTAGTGGTTACGCATTGTGGACGTCTAGTTAGTATTAGCCGAGGTAGGTTTCTTAGCCAACCTCTTAGATTAAATTGAATTGTGAAGTCAAGCACTACATCTCTACCTTTAAATTTATTATTAAATTACTTTCAGGCTCTCACCGCAAGAGTGAACGTTGTTTTTGTGTAAGCGAGTAAATCCGTGCCTTCTGTTGCACATGTTTGATAAATAAAGGGACTTTTACATCCTTTCTCTGTTGCGTTCATCTTCACGCCTGTGTGAGAAGTTGCTAGGTACGAACTTTAAGTAGACCTAGTTACCATCCCATGCATACTAAACAGGTTAGCTCTCACAAACATTCGTGCCCAAAAATGTAAGCTGTAACTTATTTTACAATGCATTTTGAAAAACATTCATTTGACTTTTATATCATGCTATAGCTTATAAATATAAAACGAAATTATATACTTTCCTTTTACCAGATACTAAAATCACTGATGCTAAATGTGTTAAACGTTTTCCATAATAACCTACAATTTTTGTAAATAAACTATTTCGGTCTCTTATTTTTTATAATGAATGTAAAAATGTTGCAAATATAGGAGATGTCTCATATTTGCTAAATGTATGCTTTAAAATGCATCCTAGATAGACCTATATATATTTTTATCTTGTAACAAAGATCAAATATCATAAAAACATCCTGGATATTGCAATGAAACTGACGCAAAAATTTTGAAAGATTATAAATACCTAAACTTTCGATATCAAAATATTTCCATTGGAGAGAGGGGGAAATGGAAGAAAAATGACGACGCGGAAGGAAAAATTGTGTCAAAGAAGATCTTTATTGGCACATGAAGTCTTTAATCGCCCTCTAATAATAAAGTTAGTTCATTAATAACTGTTATTAAATTCAGCTATCAGCATGGCTTAGATAGTACAAGATGTACTTGTAATTTGAATTAGCACTCGAGGATTACGGAAACAAAACATCATTTTCGAGGTAAAAGTCAGAATCACATTTATTATTATATGATGAAGCTTTAACCAGTTAATTATGCAAGCCTTCTTAGATTCAAGTATTTGAAATCCATTCCTTATTACAATGATTTCTTTCGTTTCTCAGAGTTTATCCATTTTTTGTTTCGCAAAACATTTGCTGTGTCAGAGATCAAATTCGTGCTTTTTCATTCTGGAAATGTTAACTTGCCAGTTTAACATTAACAGACTGCGGTTATTTTTATTTCAAATTCCCAAAACTAGAACTCCATAAAGTTTAACTATATGATTTTGTTGCAACAGAAAAAAAAATCAAAAGGTTACAGAAGTTAATGCTGTTGTAATTTGTGCCTAACGATGGCTGAACATAATTAGTGTTCAGTTTCTTACCATTTACTATAAAACCAAAACCCAAATATTCTAAAATGAGTTCTTGAATAAAGTGACGAAACAGAATCTGAATGTAGAGAACATTTAGATTATTAGTAAAAAAAAATTAGCAGCATAGAATTTCCTCAAAAATTACCCAATTTTCACTAAACAATTGGTAGAATGCCTGTTAAAATTCATAGCATCTGGATTTAAAACATTAGGGAATTAAGAGATATTTCAAAAGTTAATCCGTTTTTACCAACCGTTATAAGTTGGCATTATGTATAAGTACATCGCATGTGTGCTTTGCTCTTGGCAAAGCACGCAGCAGCTGGGTACGATAAGAGATGGAAATGGGAAAGATGGAACTTTCTGAGAGATAATGGTTCGTATTTACGCTAAATTTGGGGAAATCCATAAAACCAATTCCATCGGCTCCTGGGAACGGAACTTGGAGTAAATATGGGGGCGCTTTGACCTTAATCCATCGGCCAGCGAAGCATATGTGAAGCATGCACAAGGACAGCAAATTTGCCCAATTTGCTTCCTTTTTAAAATTATGCCTTACAATAGTAGATACTATTTATTAACCTGGATTCCAGGATATGATGCTATTAGGAGATTCTGCGTGTTTTTAGAACTATTGGAAATATACCAGTCGCCAGAGGCGAAAGCTTATGTTACAGCAGGATAATTTTAACAAACTTTGCAAAGTTTCTTAAAGATTCAGAAGCACTGAATTTTTAAGATTGAAAATGAAATGCTTAGAAATTGTTTATCGTAATTGATTTGTAATATTTAATTGCAAATTCTTTATGTAAAATTTTCACTCAAGTTCTTTGCAGGACAGTCTCAGAAGTAGCTTTTAGCAACATTGTCTCATTCAGTACAAGGATCAATCACTGTTCTATAAGCATTTGAATTCTACAAGTAATATTTACGTAAAGGTATCTTGCAGGCATCTGTGTTATTCAAATTTCAACAACAATCATCTTCTTTGACGTATAGTTTAAGCGTAAAATCCTCCCAAGTACTTACATGTTTCTCTACAACTGTTTAATAAAGCATAATATTTTGTTTTTGCTTACATAAATGCCGCATTATTTCTTTTGCACTGAGATTATTATTTTATGGTTGGACTGTTAAAAAAATAAGGGAAAGGTTTATTCGACCAAACAGGCATTTAATTATTCCCTCCCCCCATAAAAACTAGGGAAAAGATTATTTCGCCAAGCAGGCACCTAATAACCTTAAGCGTACAGAACAAAATACCTCCCATGTAAGAATAAATTCCTTCAGAAAGAAGTTAAACAGCCATAGTCGCTGCAGCTATGAAACTCATCACTTCAGTTTTGACCAACAAATCCCTGAAGGTCTTCCGCTCTTCTTCTGCCTCTCCTATCAGGCAGACTCTCAGATCGGTAGATTTTACATGCCTCTGCTCTACATGCGACGATCACAGTGACTGGACAGATGATGATCAGGGCGCAACTGTAATAACCGTGTAATCCTGCCATACAAGAGGTAAACACCATAATTCTCATTGCTAAGCCGCTGTTAATAAATGTTAAAATTATTCATAACTCTCGTAGTGTACTAGAAACGGGAAGATCCATGGCTCGAATTTCGGTGTAGACATAGCTAATTTTTCATAATTCTTGTTCCGAAAGAAACCTAATAGCTCTAAAACTGCATATTTTTTTTTCAAATATAGCCTAAATGATGTTCTTTGTATCGATTTCATGAAATGTTCGACTTAATATGTTTTGTCCGTAGAAGCTCACTCGTATCTATTTATAATTCTTTCAATCTGTCGATATGGGAAGTTTCCTCTATCGTTTAAGCTAAATGTTCTACGACTAACGTCGCCTTTTTCCCACATATATTTTCTAAACAGAATTTTTCTACGGGATTATTAATTAACTTACAATTCTATAACCTTTAATTGAGAACTAAATGAATGATCTAATTAAGTTCATAAAGTCGCCTTCAAATCAATAAAATATTGTTGCCATTCAGTTATTTAGATTAAATTATACAAATGAACCCTACCTGTATGCGTTCGTTTGTGAGCTTTCAGGTGGGAGCTTTTCGTGTAGACTTTCTCACAGCCTTCGAAATCGCATCTATGAACTTTTCTCCTCTTCAGACTCTCTGAATATAAATCCGGTGATGCACTGGCCATAGTCATGGAACCATTCAGAAGGGCCGTAGAATGAGCTCCGAGTAGGGGAACCACGGAAGAGGAGGCGAGTCTATGTCCCTGGGCGGCTGCAAATAGTCCATTTGGCAAGGACCCGTTCACCAGTGACGGAGCGGCTGCAGCAGCAATGGCAGCACTATGTTTTTGCAACTGATGATGAACATGAGACATAGCTCTGGAATAAACAAAATGAACATTTCAGAAAAAAATGGTGATACATTATAGAGAAAAACTGAAGAAGGTTAAAAAATTGCTGATTAATAAAACTTTATTAAAAAGTTTAAATCGTTAGTTTCAATTTAATTATCTTGCGTGAGTGAAAACAAATTTTGACTAATATTCGACATGACCCAATTACTTTCAACTTTCTTGGAAAGAAGTTTAAAATGCTTAGATTTATATCAGTTTACCAAATATTTAAGTTAATAAAATATATAAAACTCAAATGAAGCAAAAATGTACAGAAAAACAATTTTTGTGATATCTACTAAAATTCTTATGATCATCCACATAGTGTTTACAATTAGTAATGCAGACATCTAAATATTAATTAAGGATTTACATAATAGCATACCGTTAAGATTTTTGTAGTTCCGAATTCAAAAACATTTCATACGATTTTTTTACTGTGAGAAAAATATGATCATTTAGATGAGAATACAATGTAGCATAACAGATGTAACATTTTACAATGCATATTAAAGCACGATGTTTTGTAAAATGATAAACTTAGTATAGCTTTTACAGTATGTAATTTCAAAGATTAATTTCTAGGATCTTGGATATGCATATAAAATGCTGCACGGTAAATTAAAAGAAATTAAGTACATAGCATAATATACTTTTTTTTCTTTCTGGACAATGTTATAACGAAGTGGTATGAAAATAACTTACTTCTTCCAAACCTATATAATTTACGATTAAAAAAAGATAGTGAAAAAAATAATTAATTAAATCTTCGACCATTTTGTTTTTTTATCAATCGAATTCAAAAACAAAATTGAAAATAGAGATGAAATGTGAATTTTAGCAAGAAGTGGTGCCCACAAACAAATTTCAGAATGCTTTGAATTTGCTGTATTTGATGTCACACAGTAGGAGCACCACTGCCCTCTATTTTCGATTGGAAGAAGCTCACGGAGAGGTTTGAATGACATATTGGACTAAGGTCTGGTTACAGCTCTGCCAAATTGTACAAAGACTAACTCTTATATTCTGATTCATTATCATGAAAGATGACAGTAGTGTGTGTTGAAGCAGAAGTACCTAGCGTGACAAGTGGATTAGCGTTTCGTACAACAACGAATCTATCTGAACACTGATGATCTTCAATTGAAAGTCTGGAGATGGCGTTGCTACCGGGCTCAATCTGCTGCTATTGTAAGCGCCATAGCGCTTGTCAGAGTGAAGTCACGCTTTTCGATGTCATAATCATTCCCAACCGATAATTCCTAGCACACAGAATGCAAACAATAGCAGCCTTCCGATATGTTAATGAGATGCTGGTGCCAGTTTTGTTATATCTTCAGAGTATACTAAATCCTGTTTTTAAACACGATAGTATACAGTTACATTGAACTAACATCAGCAAGTATGTGCAAAGTATTCCGGTGTTTCCTTAACTAGTTTTTCCAGGTATATCTTTTGCTGAGAAACTACAGGACACTAATGTCCGTTACGTTGATTTGAATTGAAGTTTATGACGAACTGCGTTACTGATCTGAGACACAATGCAAGCACTGAAAAGCAAGTTGGCAATAAAAACACTTAAAAAATTTGATTGCACAAATATTTTTAAAACAAACTTTTAAACATTCATCTAATTACAGAAATATTACAGTCAAGTATCTATCTTTACAAGAATCATACTAAATCCTGCGAGTTAATCTCTTACATTATGCTAGTCCAAGTTACACGTAAATTCATTTTTCTTTTCCAAGATGAAGAACTCATAAACTATCAGTTTAATATTCTAAAACCATGATCAGGAATGTGATACCCAGTGATATTCAATATGTTCATGTTGCATGTTCTTTTAATATATACCACTGCATTTACTGTGATACGAAGATTTGCTTAGATTGTCAGGTCTATAAATGTTTTGAGAAGACTTTAATCATTACTGTTTCCGTCTCGCGCACCGAATGTTAATCAATAATTTGATGAAAAGCAAATGCGACAAATACCTAAAACAATTATGCATTCTCAAGCCTCCTAATCTTTCTAGATCACATTCAGAAAATTCAGATCATTCCTAGATCACATTCAGAAGAACCTAGATCATTCTCAGATCACATCAGCCTCTTAGATTACATTTAGAAAACACCTAATAAAAAATTTTTGAGCAAGAGGAAAACCTCAAAAAGGGGTCAGTGAACCTTCCCCCCCCCGAAAAAAAAAAGATTGGGAAACTACGCCTTAGAGTCTATATTCTAGACTATATTAGGTTCCTTCAAAAATTCGTAATATTTTTAACTATATATATTTAATTGACAGTAGGAAAATATTCATGTATTTTCCTCATGCACTCATGTATACTCATGTATTTTTTTAAAATCTTCCAATATCTGATAGTCTCAGTAAGAGTTTCCTTGCAGTCTGATTCTTTTGGTATCTCTGATGGCAATTTGTCATTAACTTTTTCAACAGATTTCAACAGTTTTAAACCTTTTTCAAAAGATTCCTTGATTTATTTTGTTTCTGTAGACGTCGTCTTTTAGAAGAATCTTTCATCAGTCATCATTTATCTTTATCTCTTTTTAAAAGTTGGGGATAAAGTAACAGGTATATAGTGACACGCCCACACACACACACACTCACACATAATACATTTTATAGGCATTTCACTTCTGTCTATAACAAAAACGAAGCCATGTTGTTACTTTCAAGGGCCGAAGTTAAGTCTTAAGACCATGAGTCAGTAAATTCTGAAATTACAAAGCTCCATAAAAACAAAATCTTCAGTTGCAACAACATCCATGTACATGGAATCCGACGAATTTTTGCTAGCAGCTAATATTTAAAGAAATACTGGTGATAAGGAGCCATCCTAAATATTCCTATTCTCTTAAACACGGCCAGAAATCACCGGAGTGCGGCTTCGCCAGCTCTCATCTTTTGAGTGAAGTCCATATCCCCCCAAAATATGAGCTGTGATATTTAATTTATTATTTATCTATTTGTCAATAATTTTATTTCATTTATTGTCTCTTTACATTTTATTTAATTTTGATTATTAATTTTTTATTTTTGTCCATCTTTCCTGACGGCTTTCAATAGGCTTTCACTTCTAGTTTTAGAAATAAAGCCTGGCCGTTAAAGTAATAGTTGGCATACTACTGTCATAAAATGCCCCTTTCCAATATGTCATAGTTTAGAAGCGTATTGACTCGGAGCTTGATTCGGAGCTTGATTTTGAATTTAATCGTCTATAGATGGAAAGATATTTATGGATTGAGGATAAATTTAATCTATTGACATGAAACTAAGCGAAAAACTAGGATAGTGTGTCTCAAACATGAATAAAATACACAGCTATACTTCACAACAAAAGTTAGTATATAGAAAAGAATACTGACTATTTCTAATCGAGACCGAGATAAGATGTAACGAGCTGATTTGTGATGCATTCCTTGTAGAATAAAAAGACAATTGTTGCATGAGTTGATTTATAATAAATTCTTGACAAAATAAAAAGCACCTGTGATATTACAACTGAATCCGTCAAGAAGCGTCAATAAATTTACTTTAACCAGGTTTGTCGATAACGCTGCAGTTAGTCTCAGATCAAGGTATTCAGTAGCGTTTAAGGATATAAAAAGTTTGCATAAAGATGCAGAAACAAGAAAGCAACATAACTTCAAAAGAAATAATAATATTTACAAATTTATAATGACATAATTCGATGAAAGTTTTTTCATCACCAATATAAGAATGCATGCATTTTAGCCAAAAATCCAGTACAACAGACACTCACGTATGACACAAAAAGGTCAAGCATTATAAAAGACTTTCAGAACACGCATTGAGATGCTCTGTATTAATTAGTTATTGTTTAGAACTTTCACAATAGTTTTAATGACCTCAGTCGCATTCTTAATAAGAAGCACGTAAACATCAAAATAAAACGCAAGAGAAAAAAATCCAAACAATCATAAATCTCAACAACAAACAGGAATAAAAATAACGCGGATTAGCTCCGCAGGTTAGCACGGATTTAACTCCTCGTATATTTATAGCGGACAATACAGGGAGAATACCAATCAAAGAAAATAACCTCGAAAGTATCTACACAGATCATCCATCACTGTAGCCAATCGACCCCCTTCTCCATCGTCTTTCTAAAAAAAGAAATCGTTAAAAAAATGCCTCACGAAGTTTTCCCCACCCCTTGCTACGATACTTCACGAATAAGTCAAAGCAACAGTTCCGGGATATATTATGTAATTTGGCCGCGGCAGTACCGGCCATGGTTTAATTTATAGGTCCGCTGGACTCTGAAATTTGCATCCCTGGTTTTTGTAATAACCGAGCCGAGAGAAATATAATTCAATTAAACCTAGACAAAATAGAGGCTCGGAGTTGGGGGTGTGGCAAGCTACATCGGCAGTGGTTTAAGGGGATGAAATCTTAATGGAGTAAAGGAACCCTTCCTTCCCTTCTCCTTCAGTGGATGTTTCCAACTTGATGACGCGGTTGACTTAGCACAGTTCTGCAACTAAGCAATTTAGCGCAACTAACTCATCACTTAAGTTTTGAAATGTTTAATTCATACGAAACTATTCGTATTCATGAGAAAACAATTTACAAACACCGGCAATTAACATTTGGATGACAAACATAATTAAACTCTCAGTTCATTCACACCCTGTCATTCGACTCCAATAAAATTCCCAGATTTGGCACCCAATTAAAAAAATTGGTTCAAAAACTAATTTTGCCTAAATATTCTTGTTACATAAAGATGAGTTGCAACTGATGTTTTTCTCAAGGTTTGAAGGAATTTCAAAACAACATTGATTACCTTTATTCTAAGTAAAAAATAGTTACAACCCATGTCCATCCAATGCCTAAGGCCAGATTCCTTTTTTAATATATCTTGTATATAGCGATCTTTGTAGCTCCTTATTTTATAGACAGAATAATTTATTAATTTTCGTAATGAAATATAAAAAG